ACCTTGTATTCTAATTAATGAATTCTAATTATTGAAGATAAAGAAATATCTCAACATATCTGCTTTAATCTCTTTTAATTTTCCCAAATCAAGTCATTTGCTACATATTTAAGATTCTTAAAATTAAAAATCATGTGTAGCTGGTTTTGTATAATTTTCATTGAATATTTTAAGGTAAGACATCTTATATAGATGACGATAGCGTCGGTAAGAAGACCATGGAACTAGTGTTAGGGTAGCTGCCTTTATGTCTTTCTGTAGCCATTAGGTTAGAATACGACATTAAATTATTTTTCCTTTTTGCTTCAAATGCTACGTTATTTACTTTTCCACTTTACAACTAACCCTCTACAAGACTTCCCTAATCTCATGACTTCCCTGATGTGTTTTTAGAGAATGTACCGAGGATAGCTCCGTCCTGGACAGTAGATCTCTGCATAGAGCTTGAATTGGGTACAAATTCATATCACTTGGCCGACCCGTCACCCTGGACCAATAACCCACGTGCCTACCCAACTTGACCTGGCTTCTAGGTCGCACGCATACTTTACTCTGACTCATTACCAACCCGACTCGATCGTGACCCGCACACGTCCACCTCCCCTGACTCTTAAAGGAAATAAGTGCTTTAATAGAATGTTTAAAGACAAGATTGTAAAGTGGATAGATAGGCTCCGGGAGGTTGGAATAGGGGTTTGATAACTGAGTAAATATCCTTTTGAACTTCCAAGCTTTTGTGTACCTCCATTTTGCCTTACAATAGAGAATGAGAAAAACAGTAAACATAAAGGGTAAAAAGAAACACAGTGAAGCAAATAATAATAATCTTAACAACACTAAACAGATGCAAAGGAAATTGTGAAATAAACAATATCAAATGAAGTTATATCACAACTAATGGTAACTATTATAGGGTCAAGGTATATAGCTCTTGTTGTTCATAGACTTGGGTAGCTAGCTTAGCCTACGTAATGGTTAACTGGTGTCCAAGATTGAGGAACTATATCATAGAACTCTCTCTTTGTCATGAGGATGCATGGGTGTGTGCTCGCTTGTAGTCATCAATGGAATGTTAGTTGGTGAACTCTTCCCATATGATCACAAGTCACCGAAGGTTGGGGGAGAAACCCCTGTGTGTGCCAACTCCATTGAGTACCTTTATGATCCTTGCCTTTCTCATAGGACGGATCCACCGTGCAAGGTAATCAAACTAAACTATTAGGCTACACATTTTTAATTGGCCCCATGTCTTGCTCAATGGTACTGTACTTGAGTGGAAAGAGAAGTAGAAACTCTGCAAACACTGTACCGACTGCTAATGGTCTTGGAGGCTACATTTGTCTTCCTAGGTTGCCATGGTGGTCTTCTAGGTCTCTAGGGTGGTGTGGCTGTCTTGACATGAACTCATGTCTCCAGGTTTCTCAGTTTTGACTCCTTGAATCTAGTTGGATTGGGAGCATTAGGGGTTGCACCCTTTGATCGTCTCTTACGATTGTAATGTGCTTGGAGTACGGGAAGCGTTTCATCCTAGGTCATGTTCTAGCCAAGTTGACACTAACACCCTAGTCTTATTCAATTTCTACTATCACTCTACGGATCATATATTTAACCACCTAAAGTTAATGTATAATATCATGGATACAATTACACATGCTATATAGGGAGATAAATTTTATCAAGCACCTGGAGCGCAGATACACAGTCAATTACAACATACAAAGGCTATTTCAGATATACCTACAACAAGTGTAACAGTTCTCATGCTTATCCGATCATTCTAAGTTTTGGTCATACTAAATCTAACCTCATAGGATTTGATTTTACTAGCATGCATGCATATCCAAGCTATCCCTACAAATATTACTTGCCTAGAAATTGAGTGGATACTTATATGATTTGTCTCATGCCTTCCGAGTTCAATTACTACTGAAAAGTCACAAAAAATTCTTGAAATTCTCTGGTGGATTCTAATTCAGACAAAAAAAATTGGTTAGCATTAAAATCGGCACAGAAACGGAGAAATGACACATGTCTGTGGGTTTCTTCCTTCTTACTACAATTTTTTTTTCAGAAATCATAAGTGTTTCATTCCAATCTATTTTCTTTTCATTTTCGTAACTCTTGATTCATAACTCAAAACAATTTGGTTTTTCATCAATATTGAAGATTTCTAATAAAACTAACTCTTGTGAGCCAATAATTACCCTCTTCTTATTACCTTTGTATAAGAAATGATAATTCCTTCGTGATGAGTATCGTGAACGTAAAAATTATTATCGATTAGGATTTAGTCTCGCACAAAACCCTTACTATTCCAATTAAATTATATAAATCAAAAGATTAGTGAATTAGAGAGCGGCTTCTAACTCTGTTAACTTTTATAAATTATTATCAAATAGAATCTAGATCTTACATGAAATCTTCTCTTGCATCTCAATGAAGTTAGTAACAGGAATTCGAGATGAGATAATTGTCGTCCTTGGCCGAGCATGACTATGTTATGAGATATTTAACTATCTCCCACGTGCTTTTAGTACTCGAATCATATTTAGTTTTTTTTTTTTTTTTTTTTTT